TCTTGAGGGAGACGTCTCTTTAGAGGCACTTGCTCCAAAGCCACCTAAGGGGCTTCTGGAGGAAGCTGCTGGCTGCTGGGTGCTGCTGCTTGCTACCTGTGCTGCAGGAACCTGCCCAGTATGCACACCAGAGCCAGAAAGCCAAACGCTTTCCTCCTGTAACGTCTCTATTGACAAAGCTTTTGTAACAGATGGAGAATATTTAAAGGGCTCAGATTCAGTTTCACTGAGCAGGCAAAGAGGGTGAATTTGGAGCTAAGAGGCTAAATCCCTGCATTCTGGCACACGGTAGGTTTAATAAATATTTGGTGGTCTTAAATGATTTACATCTAACCTAAGTGAAAAGTATGCTTGCTTGGCATAAGTCACTTCAAGATTGGAGCTTCCACGCCTAGCTTTTGACATGAAAGTTTCTGCCAATGCCTCCTGCATGAAAACTCTGGAACCCCCCCGACCTGTCTCCCCCAACTCTGTGGTAGGGATAAGAGAAGCCCCCAGATAACATCAGAGCTTGGCTCAACAGTTAGTGAGAAGTGCAATGAGAGAAGCACAAGCAGAGAAAAGGAGACAAAAGCGGTCATGAACCCCACTTACAGTCTGTGTTAGGGCTAGGGCTGGGCCACCAGTTGCTTCATTTGTCATCTTTCTGACACACTGAGGTGAGTTATAGAGCTCTGCCATATGGCTAAAATGTGAAACACATCCAAGGGCTGTATTTTAAAATGTAACTTAAAAAATAAAGAAACCTCTTGATTTCTCTAGCCACTTTTCTGTTGACACAAACCATCGAGAGAGATTAGGCGAAAGATCCCTGCTACAAGCTATTTGATATTTCCTAACAGAGCAAAGTTTCCTCTTTGTCTACTGACCCTTTCAATAGCTCTTCAGGTTCTATTCTTAGAATTCTCATTTCCTGTCCTGGGAAAAAACTGCACAGAATTTCAATAAATATTACCCAAATTATGTAGCTTTCTAAGGATAAAATGTGGTGTTCATTCATTAATGCTATCAATAAATATTTACTGAGCACCAACTACCAGACAGTGATGGCAGACATAATTCTGGGCATTTGGAGTGCAACTGTGAACACAACAAGGTCCCTGTTCTCATGGAACTTGCTTACATTCTGGCTAAAATAGAGAACATGGAACTTCCTAGAGAGGCACTGTGGGTGATTTAACAAACCATTGAAATGCTCTAGTTGGAGCAAGCAAATAACCAACCTTAAAATAAAACACGGTTGTTGCTGGTGTTCTTAGAAACTTCACTGTCCTTGTGTACAAATTGTATTACTCAAGTCTTCTAACTTTTGATTCTTGGGAAGGTTTCAGAGCAGTACTGTCTAATGGTAATATGTGAGCCACATAATTTAGATTTTTCTGGGAACAAAGTTTAAAAAGTAAAAGGAAGTTGGCTACAGTAGTGTGTACCTGTAGTTCCAGGTACACTGGAGGCTGAGGCAGGAGGATAGCTTGAGCTTCAGCGTTTCAGGCCAGCCTGGGCAACATCGGAAGACCTCATCAATACAATAAGTAAATAAATAGAAACAAACAGATTAAATTAATTTTACTAATATTTTTAACTGATTTATTCAAAATATCACAATTTTGACATAATCACGATAAATTATTGAACTACACTTCTTCACATTAATTTTTTCAAAGTCTCATGTATATGTGTACTTACAGTACATCTCATTTTGAATCGGGCACATTTCAAGTGCTTAACAGCCACATGTGGCTAGGCATGGAACAGCAGAGGTTCAGAACACCGCCAAAGTCTTTCTCTGTCCTCTTAGTTTGGGGATGGAGGAGAAAATATTTGCCGAATTGAAATATTCTGTGAACTTTGGCTCCAGGTGTTTCATATGAAATCAGAGGCAGGTGAAAATCACCATAGCCTTCCTTTGCACCAGCTCACTACAGTGGCCAGAACGGAAGGAATTTCATAGAATGTGCTAGTTTGGACATTAAGTCACTGAGTCGTCCACTGAGGAAAGGGATATCATTCAGAAAAATAGCTTTCCGCTAACGCCAAAGCGGCAGTACCATCTCAGCCAACAGATCACGTTACAGTAGCAAGCACGCTTAGAAATAAACGTTTAAAACCCAGCCTGTTACATTAGCCAACACTCTTCTTGACTTTTTCAGAATTTTTTCTCCTTTCCCAAGATTAGATGCTTGCTAGGGAAGACTGCGAGCCTCAGCGGCCTTCCCTTGAACTGTGGAGCTGCCTTCAGCTGGACACGGACTAAGAATTGAAGGGCGCACTGACTGGGGCCGCCCCCATTTCCCAGGCCCCTCCCTAGGGGTGCCCCTCTTCAGCCACTCTTCCCCTTTCTCCCTTCCCCTAGCATCTGCCCCTGGGGCCACCCCTACCTTTCCGACAACCCTCCGGCCCACGTGGCACCCTGCTGTTTCAACGGGGACAAACTTGACTTGCTTCTCCAAAGAGCGGGAAAAAGACGCGCAGTCTTGGTACTGATCTGGGGGAGGGAACGTCCCAGGGCGCGCAGGGGCGTTTTCTACCCGTGCCCCGTCGGCCTGCTCTGTTCAGTACCCACTGTCTGCGGGGTTCACCTCGGGAAAGTTCCTTTTGAGATCCAGCGATGCTGCTCCCCGGATATTCAACTCCACCCGGAGACCCCAGGGTTACTGCCCTGCGACCCCCGATGGAGCGTCGGGATGCGCTTTCTCCCCGAGTGCCGCCGGGGGTGGAGGGAGTGGGACTTGCCTCGGGGCTAAATGGCAATCACAGCCCCCGTGGGGCTCGGAGGAACGAGTTTCCCGCCCACCCCGCAGCCCCTGCCCCAGCCGGCATCTCGCGGCTCCGATTCTGGCTCTAAACAAGAACAGGGGCCCGAGTCCGCGTTCACACGGAAAATTATGCTGGCTCCAGCGGCGCGTAAAATTGATGTGAACCGAACGAAGTGGGATCAGCGTGATCCTCCCTCTCTTGTCTCAACAGGGGTTTCGGCGCGTTACACAAGGCCGAGCTTGTCTCTTTAAGGAGACATTGGACCCTAATTAGTCCGCATTCCTGGCGCGGCCGCCGAGCGAGGGGCCGAGGGTGTCTGGGTTGGGAGATCGGTGGGCGGGAGGACGAGACTCCGAAGGAGATCTTTTGACCAGCCTCCAGGCTCACCGCCCCCTCCACCCTCTTTATTTTGCCGCCACCACCGCCACCAACACCTAATTCTGAAGATGCAGCCAGGGCAGCAGCAACAGCAGCAGTCGCCGATTCTCCCAGCCCCACGTTACTTTGATTGACAGCTGAACAAATGTTTCTTCGGTTCGAACGCTCGCGCTAAGGAACGTCAGCCACAGCGAAGCTCCGCCTTGGGCGGGCCATCTCCGCTCCGCCTCCGCCAGCCTCATTCCTCTTCGTTAATTGGTCGGAGCTACAGGCGTCGCCCGGCCCCCACGTGGGTTCCAGCCGGGTTGGCTCCTCCCCGCTGGCTTGCCATTTGTCAGCAGTGAAATGATGGGCACTAACACAGAACGGCGATTAATGCTCAGACATCTCTGATTGGTTGCTGGAGAAGCCTACCGCAACGGGGGCGGGCAGGGTACTTGGAGAGCGCCCCAGAGCGCTCGCGTGGTGGGCCGGTGATTGTAGTCAATCTGGCCGTATTCTCAGGCAGGGTCGCCGGGGGCGGACTACATCTCCCGGGATGCTCCGCGGCCCCCCCCCC